GAGAATGGTGTGTGAGTGAATGAGTGTGTGAGAATGGTGTGTGAGTGAATGGTGTGTGAGTGAATGAGTGTGTGAGAATGGTGTGTGAATGAATGGTATGTGAGTGTGCCCTACGATGGAATAGCACCTCATCCTGGGTTGTTGATGGATGGATGGATGGATGGATGGATAAATATACTAATGTCTTAATCCTACTAAGACTAAACCTAAACAAACATTAACATTTTCAGCTTTTATTACGGGACTATTTTCATCCAAACTGGCAGGTACATAATTCTGGAATATCTGGTCAGTGGTATAAAGGTATTGGAATGATCCTCCTCAGACCCTACAGAGGACCCTGACATACATCAGCGGCACCTCCTGGAATTGCCTGTGCATTTGTTGCTTCCTTAAGGTGGGGGTGTGGCTTCCCCTTCCTCTCTCCCACACACCTACAAGAGTGGCCTGACTGTACTCAGTCACATTACAATATGACCACACTGCTGAGAATTTGCTGTATGCTCTTGTATAGAAATTTTAAGTGCGGTAGGGTCATGCAATGCGTGAATTTAGTGGCATCTGTTTGGGGGGGGGGGGGATCTTTGATGCACTGCAATGATTTTTTTGAGCAGCATCATCTATGCATGAAATTCTTCATTCTGCTGGATATACTGGCTTTGTTCAAATTGGGCATTTTAATTAACTGCTCTTTTTTACTGTGATAGCATTTTTTATTTATTTAATCGCTTTATGGAATTCAGTCACAATATTAAAATCAAACGCATCGGTTCAGTTTAATCTGCACTCGTTACAACTGTCAAATGGTGTTAATGACATTTTTTTATTTAATTTCCTGATTAATTTAGTCAATGCTTTGTTGTTCTGTGCCTTTAAATAGATAGTCAACAGTTATTAAAACAGATATTGCAGTTTTAATTTATTCTGGTTTGTTAAACATTTACAAAATATTGACCGCAGGATATTTTATTAAGGGGAAAATGAGCTACAGCTGTGTTTTAATGATCAAATTTGGTTTATCATAATTGAAAACGTATAACTCCTTATGAGCCCTTAATTAAAATGTTCACGGCTTATCAAAACTGTGCAATTCAATAAAAGGTTATTTAAACAAGAGAGCAGCTGGCGCAAAGGAAGGAAATCAGTGTACCGTGCCGGCAAACTGGATGCCCATGTCTTGTGACATATTGCACATGTAACCTCTGATCCTTCAGCTGAGGAGCTCCTTCAACAAAGCATTCAACATCAAGAAAGGCCCTAAATCTGCAACGTCATACTCGGACATCGAGGAGATCGCCACTCCTGACTCCTCCGCCCCGTCGTCCCCCAAGTTGTCCCACGAGGGCGTGGAAAATACTCCCATGTCCCTCAAGTCGTCCACCTCAGCTTCATCCTCGGTGTAAGTTACCCAGAATTCCCCTGACTTTGACTGATCGGCCGTCGATCCCAGAGCAGGGCGTGGGGAGGCCCCCCCTATGCGTTTCTCAGCGGATCTCCTCAAACATCTCCGCAGCATCTTCGAGGGCAACGAGGAGGTGGAGAACGACGAGAAGGTGGTCTCAGACCTGCGCTCAGAGCTGTGGGAGAAGGAGAGGAAGCTGACCGACATTCGCCTGGAGGCCCTGAACTCCGCGCACCAGCTGGAGCAGCTTCAGGAGGCCATGACCAATATGCAGGTCTGTGGTATTAAGAGCGGCTCAGTGCGGGACCAGTAGCTCTACCCCACAATGCAAAGCTCCAGTCGTAATCAGAAATCAGTTTGGTTATTTTTGTCATTTATCAGAGACCTTGAATTTAAACTCCAGAATGATACGTTAGGCTTTCGTCTCTTCGCCTTTTGCCTGCAGATGACCGTGGAGAATCTGAAAGCTGAGAACGACCAGCTAAAAACTGCACCAAGTTCTGACCCTCCCAGCTCAACTTCCCAGCCCTCCGGACTGATGTCACTGATGACATCATCGCAAAGGCAGTCCATGTCGGCATCTGTCACGAAATCTTTTAGCCTGAGCCAGAGTGGGGAGCCAGGTAAGGAATTAATGTCCCATCAAACTGTGTACAGACATACAGAACTTTAAACAAGTGTGTCTTTCCCGTCAGGGATTTTACATCATAATTAATGGAAGCTTTAAACAAGAGGGTTGGCAATACTTATTTTCAATTTGCATTGTTTCCTATTCTTACTTGCTGTAGCAAATTGCCATGGACCGTGTGGTTGTTAAGTAAATAATTCACCACTGACCTGCACCTCGTCCTCCTTCCCTGTTTCTGTGTGACATCAGACACCGCTAAGATGGATGTGACTGGCCGGCCCCCCAACCGGGAGGAGACACGCCTTCGAGTCGTCATCCACATGGCTGACCAACGGGCACTCAAAGATGTCAGTGGCTCATTCCTCACTCTTTATCGGGACGTTTGCAAAATGTTGCTTTGGTGCTTTGCATTGTTTTACCAGACAGGAAGGACAGTAATGCTAAATAAGGCCGGAACGGCGTCTAAAGAAAGAAACTGCTGCTTGTGCAAATCGGGCCTTTTTCCTTAATCGTGTCTCCATCAGTAACTGCAACAGCTGTCGCTCTGAGTCACCTGCTCACCTGTACAGATCTGAATCTGTGCGATTTTATCACGTAAACGCTAGATTAGTTTAGGTTTTTATTGTTTGGCTGTAAAACAATATTTATGACCAGACTAACAACATCGTCAACAATTACACAATGAATAAAAATCAAATCATTGTGCAGTTAGGCTGCGTTCACACTGCCAACCACATCGTTCAATTACGATTTTTTGCTCAGATCGGATTTGTCTATCTTGACGGTTCACATTCATAAGCACAAGTGGCCTGTATCTGACTGTAATGTGAACGCATCGGTCCTCTGAAACGTCACGCATGCGCACATTGATACGTTTTTACACGGGTAAAAAGCTGGTCGTAAAATCGGCACGTTGTGCGGCCATGACCGCTGCGCTGATTCGAGTCTTTTGCCTCCTTAAACTTTGACTTCAGGCTCTTTATTTTTCGTTGGCATTGTACCCACGTCCGTGTCCGCGCTGTGCCATTTCTTTGGCAATTATTTCAAATACTACTCTATTACGATAGGTTCCTTCCAGCTTAGCTTGAACAGATTCATTTCCCCAAATATCAATTAAATCCCCAACTTCTCCATCCTTCCACTGACTTATCGCAGCTCTCCTCCATTTTTACCTTCCCGCGCTGCCGGCGCAGGCTGATGATGTCAGCGCATGCGTATAAGCAAAAAGCCACATGAATTCCAATCTGAGCGTCACATTCAGGGCACATGACCGCGAAGCGGACACGTATCAGATTTAGTACCACATGTGAAAGTGACACAAATCCGATTTGAAAAGATCGGATTTGCGTGTCCACACAGCCCTGAAAAGATCAGATCTGTGTCACATTAAGGCAAAAAATCCGATTTGAGTCACTTCAGCACGGCAGTGTGAACGTAGCCATATACCACTCAGCTTTATCAGTTGAAGTCCATTAAGTATTAATCTGCATAATTTATGGTGATTTACAGCTGAAATTAAAGGAAAAAAATTCTCCTGAGATATACAGTTTGGTATCAGTTTAAAGTCCTGTTACCCCAGTAACCCCAATGACATTATTGTGTCATGTGCAAAGATACATTACAGCAACAGCCTCAGAGGTAATCAGAGGCCATGTTGCCTCTCTTCCTGCAGGAAGTGAAGCAGCAGAACTTCTTCATAGGGTTTGTGAAGGCGGGCAGCAGGATGGACTGGGCGCTGCTGGATGCAGCCGTCAGCCAGGCCTTCAGGGTGAGTCTGGGCGCAGAAGGACACCCGGTCCCCGCCAAACCCGGCCCAGCGGCGACAGCAGCGGACTCACGCTCTCCCCTTCCTTTTCTAGGACTACGTTAACAAGGTGGATCCCACCACAAGCCTGGGCTTGTCCACAGACTCCATCTACAGTTACCAAGTGAACCACAGCAAGAGGGTGCTTGGTACAGAAGCCCCCGAGGTCTCGCCCTTCCGCACCCTCAGCAAAGGCACCGGCTCTGTCACCGTGGCCCTCAAAGGTGAATATAGTCGAGGCTTCCTGGTCATTGCAGTGTAATCATATCACCGTTTGGCCCTTAAGCAAAGCCCTGAATCTCACACGCTCCAGCGTGCCGGCGGACTCTGCTGTCTGACCTTAAGCTTTCCTCACTTATACTTAAGTAAATGGAAATGCTTCTCATGGTAACCTGGTACCCATATTTTGTATGGGTCTCCTGTCAGGGCTGGCTCTGAATTATCTGCTGGGCCTGGAGGGATGTGTGAAGGAGTGATTACCTCATTTGCTCATTAAGGGTCACGCTCAAAATCCATTCTGCTGTAGCTGGGCTCAAACCAGCAACCTTCCAGTTGTGGGCACAGAGGCTTAGGCTGCCGAGCCACATGAAATACCCCGCAAACTGTGGCGTTATTAAGATAATAATGTTTTTAAGGAACATCCCCGTCTGCAGTCTCCCTTTGTCAGTATGGCTGGCTAAGGCATGAAGCTCGGAGGTCAGGCTGATGTGCAGCGTCAGGTTTCCCTGCTTCACACTGGACTCAGACCATGCCCCCCCCCCTTGGCCTGCCCTAGACCACTTTCCTGCTTGGCGCAGTGAGTGCAGTGCGTCCAGCCTGGCCTCAGCAAAAGATCCTTTTCTGCACCTGTAACACAAGCCAGGCTCCAAACTGGGTTTATCTGCCTGCGCTGTACTAAAAGAAACGTATTCCCAACATTAACCTCGAAGTTTAATTATCAAGAACGTGGTCCTCAGAGGAACACGGCTGCTGGAAAATGCACTGGTTAATTAGAAAGGTACTTTAATAAAGCGTAGAAGTAAACGAGTAATTATATTCATAGCTAAGGTAGTAGCTTTCTAAGCTGGTCTCCCGTGCTTATTTAGCATAAAGATCCCAGTTCCTGTTGGGCGATGGGAGAACCACACAAAGGTGGCCAAGAGCTACAGGAACCCGGGACCAGGTTCCAGAAGTTCGGTGTGAAAGCGCCTTACAGCTACAGCTGAGAACTGACAGGCGCAGGCATACGAGGCCGGTCCTGCCACACTGACGTGGGCCACAGGGTGGAGCTGGGAATGTGGGATGTGAGCAGAGGGACTGAGGAGCACACAGGGTGTCTGAGAAACCCTATATTACCTCGGGCATGAATGTCAGTTAGCCAAAGGCAGACATCAAGCACCCAGCCCCTGGGGGGATGAAATGTCACACTATCCTCACCCCCCCACCCCCAATCAACCAGTGGTGTTATTATTAGACCGAGCAAATTTATTTGTAGGAAAAATCCAGTGTGATATACCAACAAATGCCAATAAGATCATATGGATCACATGATATGCATTTAGTACATGGTGCCAAGCTTTGAAGGCCAGATACAGACGATGGTGGCCCAGTGCCTAGAGCCTCCAAAGTTGGCATTGACCTGTTCCTGCCCCGTGAAGGTTTGTGGAGTTCGCATGTTCTCCCCAGGTGGGACAGCTTTGCTCTGAGTACTCCGGTTTCCTCCCACAGTCCAAAGACTGGTATGTTTGAATTGCCCATTAACCCATGGGATTGTGTGCATATGTGTCCTGCTGCCCCATCCAGAGCATCCCCTGCTTGTGCCCTCCAGACCTCCCCTTGCAACCCGGCACTGTTAAGAAGTGGTTAGAAGATGGATAGATATACATATAATATTGCTGTTAGCTCCCTCTCATTATAATGAAGAAAATATAATCATTTTAATGCTATTGGACATGCCACCAGTAAATCCAACTGGTCATTGTCACCACAGGAGTTGACCAAAAGCTTGAAATTCAAGCAAGTGGATCTTATACCTGTGTTGGTCTTCTTGGGCTGCAAATAATTTTCTGTTCCCTCAATGCCTGGATGGATGTTGGACCCTGTCCCTGTTGCTCTCCTCTTGGGCTCCAGGTCTGAAAGAGAAGTGTGTGGACAACCTGGTGTTTGAGACGCTCATCCCCAAGCCCATGATGCAGCACTACATCAGTCTCCTGCTCAAGCACCGGCGCCTCATCATGTCCGGCCCGAGTGGAACCGGAAAGACCTACCTCAGCTCCCGATTGGCCGAGTACCTGGTGGAGCGCAGCGGCCGCGAGGTCACAGAGGGCATCGTGGTCACCTACAACATGCACCGGCAGTCTTGCAAGGTCAGCAGCAGCTTGGAAACGTTTCCTTTCTTCTCTTTTATTTCTGTTTGAATGTTGTTTCCAGGTTTACGTTCTGAATGTAACTCCCAGGAGATAGAGCTTTGCCCACTTTAATTTTAAACTCTTTTTGTTGATAGTCCTCTAGGGAATGTTTCACTTTTGTTCGTTTTTCTAGGATCTTCAGCTATACTTGTCCAACCTGGCCAATCAGATAGATCGGGAGACCACCACAGGAGACGTTCCATTGGTTATCCTACTGGATGACATTAGTGATGCTGTGTCCATCAGTGAGCTGGTCAATGGTGCCCTTACCTGCAAATACCACAAATGGTGGGTTAGAATCATCTGAGTATGATGTTAAAGCATGAAAAAAAAAATGGTGCTCACAAAGCTTTCTGGCTTTGCCAGTTATCTCTGTCTTCTGGTTATTCAGCGAACAATACCTCTGTTTGGTTTTCTGTTTAGCCCATATATCATTGGAACAACCAATCAACCGGTAAAGATGACGCCCAATCACGGGCTGCACCTCAGCTTCAGGTGAGGATCACTTATGTCGTTTCTATGCAAAATCTTTCCCATTCTCATTAACTAAAGATCCACATTTTAATGACTGACATCTGTTACCTTGCAGACCCGCTGTAAATGCACCTTTCTGGGCGAATTAAGTTTCTGCTTTTACATTACTGAGCATTTGTAGAGTTTTCCAAAAGTCTTGTATGATTTTTGTATTTCATTTATGAATTACTACCCAACTTGCTGATCACACAGTACCATCTCTCCAGACCTCTAGGATGCTACACAGGTCGTACACAGTATAGCGTTAATATTATTTTGCTTTATTGTGTCCCTTTAATCCAGGATGGTGACCTTCTCCAACAACGTGGAACCTGCCAATGGCTTCCTGGTGCGCTACCTGCACAGAAAGCTGATGGAGGCGGAGAACGAGAGCAGCGTCGGTTCTGAGGATCTGCTGAGGGTGCTGGACTGGGTGCCCAAGCTTTGGTACCACCTGCACACCTTCCTGGAGAAGCACAGCACCTCTGATTTCCTCATTGGTATGTCAACATTCACTCGTGTCCATGTACACCAAACAAGTCAGCCAGTCCTGTGTATGGGCATATATGTATTACTTTATGAGGACCAGTTGTCCCCACAGTGAGATAAATACCTGTTTTGTTGACCTTGTGGAGACCATGTTTTGGGTAAGGTTAGGGCTGGGTAGGGGTTAAGGTTGTCATTGTTGGGATTAGGGTTTTCCCCATAGAGATGAATGGACGGTCCCCACAAAGGTATGAATACAAACATGGGTGCTTGTGTCTCGTTCTGCCTGTAGGACCGTGCTTCTTCTTATCCTGTCCTGTCACTGTGGAAGAGTTTCGGTCCTGGTTCATTGACCTTTGGAATCATTCAATCATTCCCTACTTACAGGAGGGTGCTAAGGATGGCATTAAGGTGAGTGATATCATTGTACTCCTCCAGTAAAGGTGTGAACATCTTGGAAAATGTTTATGTGTATTTGAGGGATTCCAAAGGCATTAAGTTGGTCATTGCTTACTGTGATGAATGTGACTGTGGAGAACTTGCTGGAGATGGAGGTCCATGGCAGTGTCCCCGTTTGCAGGTCCATGGACAGAAGGCAGTGTGGGAGGACCCAGTAGAGTGGGTGCGGGGTACCCTACCCTGGCCCTCCGCCCAACAAGACCAGGCTAAGCTCTTCCATCTCCCGCCTCCCAGCCTGGGTCCTGATAGCCCAGGTCAACCCACCGAAGAAAGACCCAAGGAGACCCCACCCAGCTCCCTGGAGTCTGACCCACTGGTGAGTCTCTGTTTGAACTCCATCTAAACCTGGACTTCTGTGCTAACTTTATTCTTTACCCTAAAAGTGAGCATGCACCCCTTGTCTGTGGGAGCCTCGTATTAATGCTCCATTTACTTGGATAAGTACTTCAAGGACTTGTTTATCTGCTCGATTTCATTCAGAACCATTGTCCAACCTTGGTTTGAACTCATTTCACCTGATTTTCATTTATATATTTGATACACTTTTACCCCACAATGTATAAATGTATAGAATTCATCTGAAGTTGAAAAAAGTTACAAATAGTATCTTATTCGATATCATTCCTCTGTGTGCACCTCAATATTTCAGGCTGATGAGGGAACACTCAGAAGTCTATTGTAAGTAGGTCAGAGAACTTCACTGGGCTACCCACAGTGCTGTTTGGTTTAGATGGGTGAAACAGGTGCTGAAACACCGGCACCCGACCCCCCCCCCCAGCTGGCCCTCCCCCCAGTCCTGTACATAAAAAGCACCATTATTTTTATCCGTTACAGATGGCTATGCTGTTGAAGCTGCAGGAAGCAGCCAACTACATTGAGTCTCCAGAACAAGAAATGGCCACAGACCCAAGTCTACATTCAACACTTTGAACACCAATGTTCGGCAAAAGACTGGATTCTTTCAAAGGCTAAAGCTGTTATTTTGAGGACAATAAAAAAAAATCTCAGACATAGTCTGATCTATTACAACTCAAATATAGTACTGTTAGAAAAAAAGTAAACTTAAACAAAGTTTAAAGAACCGAAAATAACTATTTGTACTGTCCTTTTAAAATTTTATTTACTCTAAAGGTGCATGGCAATCGTTACGACATATACAAAAAAAGAGAAACATTTTGAACTTTTGTTATTTTCCTCAGAGAAAATTGTATTAGAGGTTTTATCAACTGAAGAAAACTATCTGAGCTGGGAACCTTCACTGATAGACTGCTGCTCACCGTGCCACTTAAGGAAATAGGTGCTGATTGGAGTTTTTGCAGTATTCTTACACGTTATTGGCTTTCACAGCTCGTGGACAGAAACAGCACATATATAAAAAGCGAAGGCACATTATTGCTGATTGTAAGTGATGCGATCAGATGATGGTCATGCTCAATGTATTTGCACGATGATCTGAAAAATCTCCTAGCGAATTTTAAGTAACCAGCTTTTAAGATCTAGACGGACCACATATCCAAGTTATTGATTTCCAGGCAAGAAGGGATTGCAAATGGCATATGTTACAACGCAGTGCTGTCGTCACATTTTTTCAGTGTGATTCTGCAGTGTAGGCTTTTGGGTGTTGAAGTAGCCAGACTAATGCCATCTTTTGGTCAGGTGTGGTGAAGGCTAAGCTGCAAGCATATGCAATTTTCAATTAATACACCTAACGAAACCTGGTGCTTAAAATACGCCTTAATATATCCAATTACTGTAGGTTTTCTTTGAGGTTCAGCTACACCTCAGTTTTCTTCAGTATCAAAACTGATTGACAGCTCAGTTTTCTAGAAACATGTATTGTGTAATGTTAATCTACAAGTACTTTAATAAGTCGGGTGGACACATTGCCTTCAGATGTATGTGGGATGATGTGGAAGAATTGCACTTTAATTTATTTTCTACTTTGACTATTACAGTATGTGTTTGGTTGTCTGTGTCTTTGAGGGCAAACGTACAAGATGTACAGTTCTTAAAAAAAAAAAAAGACTAGTATCTGATGCGCACTTCTTTCACCTAAACTGCAGGGGGCAGTATGCACGACTTACTCATGCATGCCAGCTCTCGCTTTTCTGTATTGCGTTAGCACTTACCAAATGCTCAAACCACAGTTTGCGAACTGCCCTCCATTCTGAAATTGTAGCCCTAAAACATGAATAGTTATGATGCCTCTTATGCTTTGGCTAATACTGCATATTGTACACTTTTAGATGTTTTGTGTTTTTTATTGTAATGGAGAAAATGCCATCTATAAGTGATACAGACACAGAAATGCGCAGTGATTTTATGTGCAACAGAAGCAGATGTCTTTATACTATCTACCTTAATATAGGCAAAAAAATATGAACAGTGATTTCATTATGATGCTAAGCTACCTTTGACAATACTGTGTTTTCCTGCGGAGTGCTCAGCATCGGAGGATGCATTTCAACATATGACAGCCAAGCAATGATAAATATGAACATGAATATCTATTTTTTTTCTTTGATTCTTTCTGACCTTATTTACTAGAACCTGGTAAGGAAAGCCTTCTATTTCCATTCCGATGTTGAATAGGGCATGTTAATAAGTGCACTGAGGTGCTGCAGAGTATGTTGGCAAATTCCATTCTGGCTTTTCACCATCTGCAAATTCTGCAAAATTCAGTCACTGTATTTTTACCTACAGGATTTGCACTTGTGGCAACCACACTGAGTTTATGGTGCAGATATTTATGTACTTAACCAAATCATATATTGCTTTCTTGCATCGAGGCTTTGTAGCAAATACTAATATATATGTAAGTGTCGGCTATAATTCTGTATTTTATATAGCATCAAACTCACTTGGGGATGCCCAAGAACAACCTAGAGTCAGTGGAGAAAGAGCTCTGGGTGAGCTGATTTGCATGCTGCCGCCATGACCGTCACCAGAAAAAGCAGTGTGACGAGGACATGTTAGCCATATCGTTCTTGATTTTAATTGGTGCTATCAAACTATGCCTATCTTGATGTCGTAATTCCTCATTATAAAAATCTACGACCGGATTTCCTCCTACGATTGGCAGAAACGAGTTCTTAGAGCCGCTGGAGAAAGAAATTAAACTGCTGGAGTGACTGACTCTATGTCCTCTGCTGACTTTCCAGGGATCGTAAATCAATGCTGCCCATCAGTGTCACACATTGACAGTTGTGAATGGTGCTATTTCCTTGTTAAAAAAAAAATCAAGCAGCTTCTGTTGCAGCCCTGTGATTCCTCTCTGTTTCACGTTTTGTAAATTCAGAAGCTGTAAATAATAAGCATTATTTTAAGTTCCCACCCTGCCGAATACCGTAGTAAAGAGATACAAACAGGAAAACATAGGCACAGAAATAGCAAAGAGACATGGCTGAGGACTAAGAGGCAATCGCTTCTCACTCATGCCGTCTCCTGCTGTGTGGCAGCCTGAATGAGACAAACTCCTCCACCAAGAAAGACGTGTGTTGTTAATTTCACAGTCACAGGTGCGTAAGTCCACTCTTCAGAGTCATTCAGAACGAAATTGTATGCAAGTCCGTGAAAAATGGCAATGGGGTAACCAAGGGTAAATAAGGGTGAAATGGGCCATTTTGCAGAATATTCTTTCATTGTTGTTTTCATTTTCATATATTTTTCTGCCACTATCCTCAAATACAAAATTAGAAAATACATTTCTATGTATTCCTAAGTGTACATATAATTTTTTTTAATAGCCCGTATATAACCAACCTGAAAAGGCATAGGTAATACAAAAAAGAACTTTCTAAATTTAAGTGAGCATAAAAAATAGCATTCTTATGCTGTACATTGAATCCTTTGCTTTTCCGTTGTGAATGTAGGGTTATTACACACATAGACTGCGGCTTTTCCAGAAGTAAATGGACGTTTAAAAAATGCTTGTCAATGATACTTTCTAACAAAGTAGGACTAGCTTTACTTATGCATTGTATATCGCTTAATGAAGCTTTTGAAATCACCTCCCTTGGTGACATCAGAGGGAAACTGGAGAGAAAATATCAGAATTAACCCATCTTGAGAGGATAAGATGCTTCATAATTCAGCTGTATAAGGAAGTCTTGCTAAAGTTAAATAAAAACACGTTTAGTCAGTTACATCAAATTTAATGTAATTGGTACTACTTTCAGTTTGAGGATGATATGTCAAATTAACAAAATAGTTAGTGGTTAATTAAAAAATTAACAACAGAAATTAATTTATCATATTGAAGATGCCCTAGGGATGCAGACACTTGAGGCAGTAGCCTTTGTCTGGTTGTAATCCCTGGGTGAAATTCTGATTGTTGTTCTATCTGTTCCTGTGTGGGTGCCGTACTGTGCAGTGCCGTGCCATGCTGTGCTAAAACACAGCTATCCTGTGTTCCGTGACTCTACAGCAACTTCTGTTGGCTTCAGCAAGAGCAACAAGCGCAAAAAGTTGTTCTGTTTTTCTGTGGGCCTCGGATTGTAAGGCAGGACTACATCACTGGGTATTTCTAAAGGGGCTGATTGCAAGCTTGTTTTCCATTTAATGACATCCATACTGATTGGGGTGAGTCTTTTGAGCCTTATTCTGAAGTTTGCCATGCATGTTTTTCAGACCAAAATATCGAGGACCCGTGGCCTTATCTACCTTTTGTGAGTGGAATCTGTGACTCTTCTGCTCAAAGTTCTGTTGAGGTTGTAGTGACTGATCCCCTAGCAAACTGGCGTAGGAAGTACAAGCTAAAAACTCTGGGCCTTGTTTATAGTTTTCTGCAGATTTTGTATTAAATTGATGCAAAATCCCCAGGAGACACATATCATTGATGACTACACCCATTACTCTGATGCACTACAGTCAAAACTGTAGTGAGAGATATTCATTGATACGTTCCTGATGTGTCTTCGTGCATTGGGAGCTCAATTTTTCAGGCTTATTTTTGTCACATTAAAAAATGTAAAAAAAAAAAAAACTGAGTTTTAAAATTGGGAGCAAAGTAATCCATTTTTATCTAATCAAATCCATACATACTTGTGCATTTTTCTTTAAATTGTACTTATATATAAATAAGGTCCCTGGTGCTTTTCTATCCGTAAGGTGATTAATATCATAGCGGGTGGCAACATTTGCGTGTGTTGATTTGAGCTTTTGTGCTAGCAGTTAGGTTTTGGTAAAACTCAGAATTTTTACCCTTCAGGAAAATAAGATGGATTGACTGTAAGACCATCACATTCTTTATGTATAAGGGCAGTTATGCTTTAAAAAGTGTTATCTGTCAGGCCTGATGTAAAAATTGTTGCCTTCTGTGAAAGGCCTTAAAATATACCGTTTTTTTTTTATTATTTTTATTTTTGCTTGGGAAACTGGCAGGGGCAGAGGGGAAGTGCTTATATCTAATTCTTCATTCCGAGGCCAATACAGGTTGCTGCGCAGTCACACAATCACGCAAAGTTGTATTTTGGATTTATTTTCACTTTATTTTTTATTATTTTTTTTGGTAATGAGGGTTAACTAATGTAACAGGAAAATTCGATGGCGTTGTTGTTGTGAATGCATGTCACCGTGGGTGTTAGCAAAGCCTTTTACTGGTCGAGAAATGTTTTCCGTGCAATTTATAAATTATATATATTCTTCTCCCTCTAAGAGACAAACCCTTTTCCCTCCAAACAGTCCTTTGTAAAACTTTTTTTTATTATTATTTTGTACAGGATATAAAAATTGTAAACAATGTACATATTTAATGTGTCCACAGCAACAACTGTTGGAGAAAAAAAAATAAATACCTACATGAAGATTACACTCTGTTCCTCAGTGTTGAGGAGGTCTGTATACAAATGGGTTGCATTGAGGCATGTTTTTAAATTACAAATCCATCTGTCTAACATTGCTCATTTGTCTCAATAAAGCCATACCATAGAGTGAATCCATTTTTTTCTCAGTTTTTTGAGTACACTTTGATCGTATAAGATGTACAAATTAGAACTTTAATGCCAGTATTAATTAGTTTATTTATTTACTCCTTTAGTAATATATGGTAGGTATTTTTGTTGGTGATAGTAATAGCTATAAATTATTTCTAATTATAATAAGGGTTACAAAACGGTACCTGGCAATTTTACTAAAACAGAACCAAAGACATCCTCGGGTTGTTCATGATTTTGTTGATTAGCAGATGCTGGATGTTTGACAGATTCAGCCCCCCGGGACCTGAAAGAGCACCCGCTGCCTTTACTCACCACACTACCAGCCGTTCTGACATACACTAGCTGGTATGCCACGTCATGGCTTATGATGACTCAAGGTCAGCTATAGATGATGATAGTGTGGCCTAGTGGTAACAGAACGCCGGTTGTGTGGGCGAACATGTGTGTACGCCTTTGCGCCTGTTGCAGGACGGGGGGGGGAGGCGGAGTGACTTCCAGCAAAAACAAGTATTTCTTTATACCCTCGGATAATTAAATCAGTCTTAACCCTAAATCATGATAACCAGCGTGATTTCTGACCCGGCCTTGTGACTACAGCCTGCTTGTTCCCGACCTTCCGAATACATTAAAAACATAATACTCAAACAGGGGCTTCAGAAGCTTTTTGAATGTGAGGGGGGACACACTGGCGGGGGGTCTGGGGACCCTCCCCCAGAAATATTTTAATAAATTAGATGCCATATGTGGAAGTGGAATGGATTCTTTTGCGAAGCAATAGAAACAGTCCTGGGTGAACTAATAGTGTGTGTTAAATGGGGGGATTCAAACGAATAATTATGAAATCTAAGGGCGACACGTCCCCCTCAGATTTAATGGCGGCGACGCACATGTACTGAAACATAGGTGGTCACGTGACAGGGCTTATAATAATAGGCCTAATAATAATTATTATTATTTATTTTACAGCAACAATAACTAATAAGAACATAGACGAAAAGTCTTCCCGTTCTTAAGGTAGGTAGTCTGTACTGAGTGAAATAGGTGCTTTACCTTAATGTTTGAATGGATAACGCTGAGAAAAAATTAAGACTTGAAAAACGTGACTGTTATACCAGAAGTACTGTACTATAGTGGCGTTTCATATGATTTCAAAATACAAATCTAAAAAATGAGGCGCACTTCGAATTACTATGAACGCTAAAAAAAAAAAAAGTTTCATCCACTACACCAAACGAACAATTTATACAAAATACAAAAACGTCGTCAGATTGATAGAAAGGATGATTAACAGAAAAGCCTGATATCGGGCTCCGACATATAAAGACATAAGGAGGCGGATCCCACATGTCCAGTCCCTTCCCCGTCGCTATATAAAGTTCACTTCCCTACTCGAAAACATTTATTCCACATCACCAAAGACTCCCTGGGATAAACAAGGATCATGCCGGCCAAACCTGCTCCAATAAAGAAGGGAAAGAAAGCCCCGGCTGCAAAGCCTGCTCCCGCCCCCGAGCCAGCTCCGGAACCCGCCCCCGCCCCGGAGCCGGCGCCGGCCCCGGCCCCCGCCGAAGCTCCTCCGGCTGAAGCTGCTCCGACCGAAGCCGCGGCTCCCGCGGAAGCCCCTCCCGCCGAAGCGGCCCCGCCTGAGCCCGCTCCCCCCGCAGCGGAGGCCAAAGCGCCCACGCCCCCTCCACCAGCAGGTAAAGCGCTATATAAAACCATCACCTTTTATGAATGCCGCTACTATACCTGGAAAAATAATTAACAACCACAACAATTATTCATTTGCCTTTTTTTTTTCTAAACCTGACTCCCCAAATAGCAGAACTTATAAGATAATAACTGTGCCTGTCAATTAAAATATTTATCAGTAAGAAGCCTGCCACTAACACACATGCTGAGAAAGAAGTTTTATTAGGACATTATCAAACATATAAATATCCAAGTCACTTTGGATTCATTTCTCCATTTTATTTTAACAGGGTTACAACACTAAAAGGTATATAATCAGGTACTCACATAACTGGTACGCAACTATACATTCACAGTTTAAAGATAAAATGCGCATTAACTAAAAATTAAATAAGTTCGCATTTGCGCTGTTATGATCACCGCGCTTTTCAGCCTTTACATGTATGTATACATATGTAATGCATATATAACAAATAATATAGAGGACATACGCTACTCACCGTTTTTAGTCGTTTACATTCTCAAATATTACAAAGACGTACAGTACAATTTGGCGTGACATTTACGCACAATCCATCGCTGCTACTGAGGATTTTCGCACTCGCGAGTAACGTCATTTTAAGGGGAGAAAAGATGTTTTTTAAAAGCCTTGTTTTTCCCGTTTGTAAGCGTATTACAGGCGTTGCTAACCTGGATGTAGAGCATAATGAAACTGGGGTGTAGTCGGAACCATGCAATTGAGTGGTTCGAACTACGCAAGTTGCTATAAGGAGCTTTTGGGAACCGTAGCGCTGGTGAGGTATCGGAGCTGAGGAGATCTGAAATGGGATCAGTGTCCCGGCTAATGTCCGGATCTGCTGCCTGTATGTAATATGATATATTATATTGTTGTTGTCGTCATTAAAATGTGTTTTTGTTTGATGTCTAGTTCCAACAAGTGAACCACTTAACTTGACTGTAGAAGACGTAACCGACACCACGGTCACGCTGAAGTGGAGACCGCCGGAGACTATCGGGGAAGATGGCCTAGATGGATACACTGTGGAGTACTGCAAAGACCAAAGTACGTTCACTGCGAACGTGCGTAATAACCGACATTGCCATCAAGTGTATGGCTCGGGTCGAGGCACAAAACACTTCCTGTTACATACAGCATTGTATTGTGCGTTCTGTAAATCCTAAGTCTTATGTATGTCTTTTGTGTGTTTTATCAGCTACTCAGGAATATACCTCTATGGCTCCGAAGTATCAGTGTCAGATTTATTCATATTTTTGCCCTCATTAGGTCACTCCTCTGGTATTTGTTTCCTATATACACAGGTCACACGTGTCCGCCGTAGCAAAATAACTGCGAAAAGTAACATGAGAAGCAAATGAGGCGTTAATTATTACTATGTATGATCTAAGTTTTTTTTAAAACCTTGTCTCTGCTGTAACCACCATGGTCTTATGTACTAAGTTACGATGTTAATAGAGAGTGCAGTAAAGTGTACAAATTTGTGCCCATTTGTCCTGTGTGCGTGAATGTACTTGCATTTTCTAAATATTAATAGAAAAACATTTCCCACCAAATACGTATTGAGTAATTAATGTACTATTTGGTTTAGCTGAGGTTTAGCCTAAGGCTGAGTCTGCATTTGTCACTTTTCGCTTTGACGTTTGCTCCCGTCCGTCCTGCAGCTACTGACTGGGTGGTCTCCAGCAAGGAGCTCATTGCCTCCTGTCGCTACACTGCGAAGGACCTCACCACCGGGGACATCCTGCACTTCCGCGTCGTCACGGTCAACCCAGGGGGTCGCAGCGCACCTGCTGTACTGGCCGATCCTGTAAAAGTGCGCGAGGTGGTGGGTAAGTGCTTTGGGAGGGGCGCCGTGAAGCCATGAAGTTGGGCAGGAACCAACTGCCCAGAACCATGTCAGCATGCTTATGACGCAATTATTCAAAACTGACCTACTGTATCTGCTGATGCAATAGCATATATAATAATAATAATAATAATAATAATAATATGAATATGAATAATTGCCCTAGGATGGGTTGGCCCTGTCCTGGGGTATTTCCTGCCTTGCACCTGTAACTTACGAAATACGCTCCGGATTCCCATGACCCTACATAGGGTCTGGAAAATGGATGGATGGAATTTGAATAATTAATTTATTTAAAAGGAATACATTTAAAAGGAAGTGCTCTGGCAGTTATCCATCAAGCAACGACGAGCCCTTATTAGGCTCTAGCAGTAAATGGGCTTTAATTGGTCAGTCTGGCTCAGCAGAGCTTGTTTTCTGTAAGCCAGCACTCAGAGGCTGTGGTGAATGGCCTTTGGCTCATACTGATCATTTGAATGAGGCCGCCAGCTGTGAGGAGATGAATCTCTTTGACACCTCCTGGCAGATGCGCTTGTTAGCATTTATTTGCAGGCCTGTTAACTTTAGAGAGTTACCCACGTTAGCTGTACCGACACAGGTGGTGTAAATACAGCGTGTGTGCAAATCTGTTATTTTGGACCATAGATTCAGTGGTGGGTTTGTGCTTCATGCAATGAGTGTTATTAATAAGAAGGGACAGTGTGAAATAAGATTCAGACAGCCTTGCATGTGGTGATTTAACAGAATGAAGAACTCTGATCTAAGACGTATGGTACAGCCTGTCTTGCATGTGATAATTTAACAGAGAGCCTGCATCACAGTGAGCCCGGGGGCTGCCCCAAGAAATGTACTACATGCACATATTTCAGGGGAAATGGTTTTAATGACCTTTTTTATGTATAGCTGAGTTATCTTTTTATTTTCTAACACAGCAAATGTTTTATGGTCATTTCCACAGCCGGATCTGTTTATATACATTTACATTATTTTATTTTATTTATTTATTTTATTTTTTTGTCCAAAGTGATGTACATGTGAGGTATTATAAAGAACCGACTGTAGAGGAGTCAGCTAGGAGTAATGGACTGAGCTTCCAGTGAGTACCCAGTTGCAATTCTAAGTAGTATAGTATTCATGAGTAATGTTACCAGAGACACCAATTTTTAAATAACAGCAGTAAAGTGTCTCATGGGATCTGGACCATTGGCCATGTGGCTGTGTGTTGCCCTCTTTAACTGAGCATTTCTGCTGCCTGTCTAGCTGAGCCCCCCCCAGGAATGACACCTGAGGAGCGTTTAGTCCTGCTTGGCCCTGCGCCCACGTCCCCGTGTTTACACTCGCCCGCAAAAGCTAAACATATTTTACTTTAAGCTGTTTCCTCTGGAAGAACCACCCAGGCCTTTTTGCAAATCCCAAGAAAGCACCCTGAAAAGCATCCTATT